AAAAATATCATGAACAAAAAATAACAATCTTAGTGCCATGTTTAATCAACTTGTTTTTTGGTGCACAAGTTATTTACTGGTGACTCAGTGATGCAATTCTCACCTTTATATGTGAGAGGTTCTGAGTTCTATCCCAGCCAATATGAAGTTGTACTTTTAACCAACTGTCTCTTACTTTTACAGTAAATCATAAATAATCTAACATTTTTATTAATGTTTTTTTTGCTGTCTATTTTGTATTTTTAATAGTTGATATATTTATGTTTTTAGAATCATTTGCCTTCACCAAGTGCTTTCTTGCTTAGCGCCTATGTTTGCTTGATTTTTCACTTGTAACACTGGAAGGGTTGTCTTGTGCTTTGGTGGTTATCTCCTCATAGTAGGGGGAGAGTTACTGTTTGTGGGCTGAACTCTTTATGCTGTAAATCTGCCTATCAACTGGTTAATGAAACTTTCACGTTGGCTACACTTGAGAAGAAATCAAACCTGAAATACAGGTATTTCATGTTCTCTATTTGAGTACAACGTAAGCCAAGAAAGTGAGAAAACAGCTATTGACCTACCAGTAGCCCCACCCCTCCTTAGATACTGTTGCTAACTTAAGCTTTCTTAATTAATCCATGTGTGTAGTAGGTTAGTTAATATTAATCTATTTACTAGATTAATAGCTAATTACTCAATTGTATCAACAGGTTTTCTTATTTAATTTATTATGCTGAATGTTGCTTCTGGGACACCCTGACTAAAATGTGTTACTTTGTTAATTTAACAGTTCTGTGCAGGACTCCAATTCACTATCCTTAAAAATCACTAACTTTAAGCAGTTCTATGAAGAAGAATGGGCTAAAAGTATTCAAAAATGATCCGAGAAATGAAACACCTTTAGGAGATGTTCAGTTTCAGTACTTTATATTACATAGTATTAAAAATGTGCTCCTTTTGTGCTGAGGAAATTAGTATTTGTGCAGCTACTGAACTTTCTTTCATGTACTTTTTGTGTTTATTCGACCTGAAATACAGTATGATGCTATATGGCTTTCAAGCCACTACAGTAATATAATATATTTTTATAATCAAAATCTAAAATAAAATTATCTGCTTCCTAATTACTTTTTAACTAAAATAGCATTAATATAAATGTATGCTTTTTGAATATGTAAACCTGAAAAAACATGTTCACAATGGCTTATAGTAATAAGCTATTTTTATATAGCCAGCTGAGTAATCTTGCTTTGTGAAACAGACTTACATTTATTTTTTAATTTTAATTTGTATTTATATTTGAATTTTAAAATTTAACACACTGTGAGTATACAAATATTATATCTCTTTTTAATGCACTTGATTTTAAATACAATGGTTTTAAAACCACTATGTATAATATATTTTAAAATCAAAACCTAAAATAAATATATGTTTTCTAATTACTATAATTACACAAAAGTTAATTATTCCATATAGTGTATAATGAAAAAAATATCTTAGTGTTATTGTACTATATGACTAGCTCAGGAAAGTACAAATGGAAACATTTAATTTTTATTGCTAAAATAACGTTAGACATGCGATGCACCACCTGACTGATTTACAAAGCAGTGCAGTTCTGTATCACATTATTTGACAAATATGAAAAGGTATTGGGTGTTACCATGTGGTGTAACATGGCTTGTTCTTTGCGGTATGGTGCAAATCTGCTTCAAGCATTCTGAGTGGCTGCATCTGTATCAACTGCAAAGTCCTCCATTTTTGGAATTCCTTGCTATTCAACATCTGAAATGCTGAATTTAGCTAAATCGAAAATATTTTCTTCTTCAACATGCTTGCATTAAGGCTTGTAATTTGACTTGTGTTTTCTTTGAAAGTAAAATGTTAATTTTGTATAGAGGTCTGAGATGCTTTTGCCAAAAATAATGAAAGCACATTTTTTGTTTTTTTTTGGTTTTAAATTGGTTTTATTTTTTTTTTATTGGTTTGGTTAACCAATTTCTTTAAAATTAGGTTTAAGATTTGAAAAGCTAACTGCTAAAAAAATCTAGCAGCACCTAATGATAAAATTCTTAAGCATCTGTGTCATTGTAGGATATAAGCCATAATTAGGTTCTTGCAGTTGTTATTAATCATAGTTCTTCCTTATTTTGTCTGTATAATGAAATATTTGCTGGACATAAGATTTTTTTCCTTATCCAACAAATATTCCTAACAGTTTAGCACGTATCAGATAAACAGTGATCTAACAAAACAAGTAATATTACAAAATGTTTAAATTACTATTAATCTGTGCATTACTATATGTACAGTACATACTGTCGATGTAATCCTTACCTTCACAATACTTAGTTCCATCACCAGTAAATCCAGGCTTGCAGAAGCACCCTTTTGATCCATTGATGTATTCACATGTTGCATTTTGATGGCATGAGGAACAGATGGCAGAAAATCTGCAATAGTCCAGCACACTGGACAGCCATGCTGTTTGATATAAAATTTAACTTAGTTCACCTGAAAACATAGCTTGAAAATTTTACATAGTACATTGATAATCATAATTATATTTTTTTACAAATTAAAATAAGTTGTTGGTATATATAAACTGTTATGCAAAAAACTGAAAAAATAAGAAATTGGTTTGTATTCACTATTATGCAAAAGTTACAGACATCTTCAGGGTTGCTATACTGTATGTAAAAACATCAACAATTTACTCAAAGTCTCTACTGGTATTTTCCACTATTATAACAACTTATTGAATATTACTTAATATAGCTTAGTTTGGGTGAGTTGAAACCACGCGTTTTGTTAGTAAACTGTAATTTGCATTGATCAGAATCTGATAATCTGATGACTGCTATAAAACGTGTCTTATAAAGTAGCTAATTCATAACAATTACCAATCAAATCCAGCTGACTTATTGTCAGTTGTTACCTATCTTTAAAGTCATTTGTTCCTGTCTACTCAGCTATTAACCTAAAAGGATACATTTTGTAGTTCAAAATATTGCCTTTATGATCTAGCTTTCATCTTAAAACAAAATGGCTAAATGTTCAGTAGAAGATAACCAATAGAATTCTTCATAAAGAAGGAAAAACACATTTTACAAGTGAAAATTGTAAAACAATGCAGTTAGTTTAATATCTTTTTAGATTGAAGCCCAAATAAGCTTCCCATTTTCTTAAGGTAGTAATTTATACTCCTCTATCCTCCAGGATAATAAGCATACATATAAGCACTTTTTCACATGATCACAAGCAATCAATATTATATTATATATCATCCCTATAATTATTTGGCACATTTAGTGTACCTTTTAAAACATGCATCTTATTTACAATAATTGTTTAACAAATAAACACATTTGCTGAAATTTGGTGAATACTATTTCCTCAATGATTTTAACAGGTTCTATGTATTTTAGATTGTAGTCACATGTGTGCTATTGGCAGCAGACGGACAACAATTAGAAAAACACATTAACTAATTTCAAAGAGCATGAAGAGCCTACTTACCCACTAAAACCACAAGTTTCATTGGGGACTTTAGCAAAGACTCCATTCTTGCCATGGGAAAGGATAACTTTTACCAGAAACTTTGCATTGGATGACGCACACTATTTCCTTTCATCAGTTTTCCTGTTTTCCTGAGCCTGGCCCATCCCTGTCCTGTTCTTTAATCAACCTCCACAAATGTCACACCACAGGACAATAATATCTGGATAAAGAACATTGCAATCCAAAAGCTCTCCTAGACATGAATGTATAGTCATTTATAACAATACAATTCTTTTGTGAATTGCAATATCACAAATGTTCTCAAAAATAATTATTTAAATATGTTTTATCTTTTTAAATGATTAAAAAATTTTTAAGGATTTAGCATTCTGCCTAAATGAAAACAGAACACCAAAACATTTCAATTTGTCACATAAAAATTGGAAGATTAATTTAATATATTTCTGATAATGTGTGGTTTACAGTATGTCTTTCTCCCCACTGATGCTTTATGTTTTATTTAGCTTATTGTTTATTTTTTCTTTTTTATGTTATTAAATATGCCAACTGTGCCTTAGTTAGGAGTATGCTTCACGAATGTCTAATTATAGGTGACAGAATTATAATTATGGTTTCTTAATCAAAAACATTAAAAAAGGATATAAATAATTCATGTGTTTATAATACTATAGATTTTTCATAATGACAATAGAGCATCTACTTTGCAAAAGGTTTATATTAATAATAAGCTTTTACTTGTCCGTGAAACCTGTGGTACAGATGTCAGAATATAGTGAAAGTATTTAGCAAACCAGGTAGATTAAAAATTGAAGTCTCTTTCTTTTAAAATCTAAATCACAAAACATCATTTCTGTTCTTAGACGTGCACACATATAACCGAGATGTGCTGGCTAATACAAATTCATTACCCTGTCCTGTCTCTGATAAACTGAAACAAGCTCACATACTGTAAATGCAAAATATGTGCAGAAAAACCAATGAAACTCTCCAGTGAGCAAATACCATTGCGCTTCCCCCTTCTCACCTAAGTAAACAAAGGACAATACACTCATCTGGGATTTTCTGTGCAGACGTACACATTTTCAGATGTGATATTCTTTGCGGTGAGATTGATAGTTCAGGGTATGAAAAGCTGCTTCTGAATCCCACTGAGAATGTTCATTGTTTCAGATACTGAGCACACCAACACAGTGGGTCAGGTGCACATCTAAACATGGTATATTGCCATTCTGAGAAGTGTGAAACATATACTTTTCTTATATTCGAATCCTTTCTTTCTCAGCAGTACAGAAATACTCCTTATATGAAGTCAGATATATCAGGGAATGTAATACCAAGCAACCACAATGGTTTTTCAATTTCTCCATTGGATGCTCCCTTGATGCATTCTCCCAAAGGAGTGCTTCTTATTTGTAAATTGGGTGAGGTAGTTAGGTGAGTGAACCTCTCAGACTTTAGGCAGATTCATCAAATATTCTTTATCATTTCAGTACCTGTACATAGAACTACAATGAAAATGGTACCAATGTCTTTTTACTTGACTTTCTCTCTCTTTCTTTTTGAATGCTGTAGATAGTACAATGTACAATGTAAATGGTAGCCCACAGAAATTCAACCAAACATTACTGTGCTAAAAAAATCAGAAACAGGCAAATTCCTTTTAAACAAATAATGATTATATGTATGAATAGCCTTACAGTATACATTTTTATATATATTTTTTATTTTTTAGTAAATAGCTGCAAAGATGTCTGAAGGTATTGAAACTCATGAAGATATGTAAATTATTACTATAATTTAATAGTACCAGGTTTCTTCTGTTTTTTTATCCAGTTTTTTCTTTATTCAAACTAATATAATGCCTTCCAAACAACTGAAAAAATAATTATCTTATAAGCATCACATTAATATTATTTTTCAGAATGCAGGGGGTCAAACAACAATTGTTTGAACAATATACAGTTCCCTGCTGAAGTAACAGGTTAATTCTTAATACTATAAGTTGTTCCTTTAGCAAGCACTATATATTATTTATTAACTAACCTGAAGAGAAATCCTTGTTATTTAATGTTTTTTGTTGGTCTATAAGATTGTTAATAACTCATTGACAAATAGCTTTTAACTGCTGCTTTTCAGAGCTCAGGTGAATGCATGATAACATTATATAATTCAATTCAGAGAATGTAAGACAAAAAGTCAAGAAAGTTAATAAAGTGTCACTGACAAAACATTTCAATCTTTATTGTGTAATTTGTTGCTTGAGGTAATATGCTGGATTTATTACAAACTTCTATCAGCACTGATTTTAAGTTTGTAAAAAGTAAACTTTAAAAAGTTCCACAGTTTTAGATAAGACCTTTTGTTCAAAGTTCCCAAAACAAGTGTGTCTTTGAAGATAAGCAATAAAATAACACACATTTGGTGATTTTATTTATGAGCTGTAATTTTGAACATTTCACATGGAAAATGACCCTATTCTTTCTGAGGGAAATCAGGCTGGGTGTATCTCAGCATGACAGAGAGTATTTCATGCCAAGCATATGAATAACAAAGAGAGCTAAGATAAGGAATATGGAAAATTGCCATATAGTGGGCACACAATATTACTTCTATGAAAAGCAATATTTAGGCTAGGTTTCTATAAAATAACCACTGCCTTTAGTGTTAAATTAGCTTGCAATAGCCTCAATTATGTGGATCTTAGTCTAACCTGAATCTGTCAATCTAACAAAGTAATTATTTCATGTCCACTGAGAGTCTGAACTCAGCTTAAGGCTATTGTTGAAGTCACTGTCTTAGTTTTTATTTACTACTTTTTTTCTAGATTCCACCTGAAAGGAATTCGATTGTGTATCAGGTTGTTGTTTACAGATTTAGTAGGGTACCATAGGCTTACTCTAATTTATGCTAACTAAATAACTGAACACTAATTCACTTTTGTGTATATATATTTGTTTGAGCATGTGCAAATGTAATTAAGCACTAAAATTAGCTACTGTGGTTGTTAATGAAAATGTGTTAGTATTAGGAGAAATTATTGTAAAAATTCAGTCTGTTGAAAAGCTTAGTGAGCTCTTACTGGACTTGGTCTATAATTTTTGCGTCTTACCATTGTACCCCTGAGCTTAGCTGTTGTTTGTCATGAAGCAGTACAAAAGAAGTACATAAGAATGCTAGAAAAGTTACAAACAAGAGGAGGCCATCTAGGCCTCTTGGTAGTTTGTAGGTTTTGTTCCAAGGATCTTCCATCTGTGTCTTAAAAGTATAGGCTAAAACAACTTGTTGCTTCGTATTCCCACAACCTTTTGTGTAAAAAAGTGCCTCTGTTTTAAAATGGATTTCTATGTAAATAACCAAAAGCAATAGGCCATAAACACGTTTTATTTTCTAGAATCACCTTGCCATGCGTTTTTTATTTTCATTATGTTTTTTAAATTTAAAGTAAAATAGATTGGTGCAGCTGTATCAAATAATAAAGCAAACATACAATAACCTTACAAATGTGTGCATACTGTAGGTTCAAAATATGTGTTTACAGTTAAGCCTGTTATGTAAGGTGTAATATTTGTAATAAAACATCTATTTTCAGATTTGAAGTGTTAAATGAAAATGTGTAAAATGACAGAAACATAACTCAGATTATCTGATGACCTTTTATTACCAGTGATAGTATGATATTTCTAAACTTTGAATATAAAAAGGCCATTCAGTCTCCTCAGGCACTTAACATTTCACTTTATTCGTGTCCATCTCGGGTGATGCCAATGTACTGTACATAAGTGATATACTGTACTTATCATACAGATGGGCTGAATGGCCTCCTCTTGTTTGTAAACTTTCTTATGTTATTAAGTGTTTAACTTTGCACATTTTCACGATGGGCACAGGCAAATATCTTTCTTCTCATTTGATAAAGCAGTGGTACCTAATGGAAAATATCATTTTTAGACATTTTGTCAGAAGCATAAATCAGTTTTTTTTTTAACACACAGCATACCTTGTTCCAATTATGCAACATGCAAGGGAAAAGATTATCTATGCCCAAAGTGGGGAAGATGTCACTGTAACAGAGCAACACTTTGAAGACTGTGATATAGACTAACACCTTTTTTAGAGTTAAAGCATTATTCTGTGAAAAATAATTTTTGTAAGATAAAAAAACATGCAGCCAAATGTCTATCTTTATCATTATATGATATATAGTGGAATTTTGCCTGCAATCAGGAAAGCATTGCAAAAGAAAGACAGGTGTATGGTCAGATGTGTAAAGAAAAATGTTTTTTTCTTTGACATCTATATAATGAATGTCAATGGGAGCCAGTTTCACATGGTAAATTTGTTCTACACTGCTGTGCCCATAGTGATTGAAAATCTCTATGCAATCCATTTTTGTAAACTTCCTCTACAGATGACAGTACATGTTACACTGTCCTAATGCTTTGACACCAGAAATGAATCTTTATTTTGCTTGAAAGCAAATAAAAATTTTAATGTAAATATTGCTGTATTGCTAAATAATTTTGTTAGATTTTCTAATTTTGTTAGGATTTTGGGGGCATAATTGCTTAATTACGTCCAGAACAAAATAACCTATTTTATTTTAAGTTCAACCTGGAGATAAATCAGACTAAGCAAAAACACATTAGCATTAGTCACCGTTAGCATTAGTCAGATGTATGCAGACCCACTGACTTGTTGACTATGAAGCTACTGTATGAATTGTAGCACAAATACAGTCTTTGAGAAAGATAAGGGATATCAAGTGTTCTAGTAAATTTATTTAAGCTAAATCAGTATCAAATCAAATATTTTAAAACTTTTTTTATTTATAATCATTTATACATTCTTCAATTAGTATGAAATGTAATGTTTAAACCTTTAAACTTAAACTTTTAGTAATGATGGCACTGTAACACAGTCTATGGGTTTGTTGCACCCAATGTCAGCGTAATAAAGCTGTTGTTTTATGGTACACAAAAGGAAATATTTGAACATACCAGCCTCAGTCTCTGATAGTTTGTCCTCACTCTTCTTCTTCAAGTGACTGAAAGTTCATACAGTACTCTTAATCTGTGTATCAGA